AGTATTCAGTCATTATGTCCTCTTTATTCTTATGATCAACGTTACTGGAAAAAAACAACAACTATGTATTTTCTTAATAATTTAAGAAAATATCTGGAAGTCTCCTGCCAGAAGTTATTTAAGCAAGGAAATCATTCTAATAGATTGATTTTGAAATACTATAAGAATCTCTGTTCTTCTACAGTTTCTGTTACTTGCCTTCAAAGATTCTTAACTGACGCAGTCTTCTATTGGCCTTTTCACTGCAGGAAGTTTATTTACACTTTGTGAGACTCAGTTTCCACATCTATAAAACAGCAGTAAGTGTCTGCCTTCACTGTTGTTCTGAGGATTAAATGGCATAGTACAGGCAATGCAAGTCTTTAGTAAAGACTTTTAGTTAACAGAAATATTTAAACCATGGGGAGGGGAAAATTCCTTTTTCTATCAGAAACATATTGGAAATTTCATATAAAATTCAAATACATGCCTCGCAAGGGCAATGAATTATGGGAACTGATAGTCTTGATACCAAAAATGACAGGGAGGAGTGAGGGCAGGAGTACTTTGGAAAGGTTGGGTCTCATCTAATGGAGCAGCTTCTCAGGCCCAGCCAAGTGTCACCATTTGAAAATTAGGCCCAGATGAGCCAAATCTTTCTTTTAAAAAAAATAAAAGCTATAAATCCCAATTTTAATGAGAAATCCATCAACTTTTAAGTATTGGTAACAAATTCAAATTTATTTTAGTTTCTAGAGTTAGAACATGGAGTAGGATTACTAGCATGCCCGCAGCCCACAGGACATTTCTATATTTCCATTTCTATTTTTCATCCATTAAATGAGAAGTGGTCAAAAACTTAAGAACAGAAGAAATCCTGAGCTTTCTATTCAAACAAAGGCTGTTAGCTTTTCAAGAAGTGTGATTCTTACCAAGAAATAGATCTGGAAAGAATCCATATTGAGAAAATAACCCGAAAAAAACAAAGGAAGAAAAAAATCCTTCCAAATGGTGTTGAAACAAGTTATCCTGGCAGCTCTGTTCAGGATGGCTGGCATAGTGAGACGTATTCACATGGACCAATAAAAACAGAGCTACTGTGGTATGTTACTTATGATACCTACAAAGTCATTAACAAACACCAAAGAACATATCAAATAAATTATGATGGAACCCTATAATGAAATATTATTTAACCATTAAAACTAGTGGTGGAAAGCAGAGGTTTGTACACACTGAGTATGTCAGAATGACCAGGGAGTGGACTTTTTTACAACCAGGCAATGTTAAAAAAAATAAAAATAAATTTAAAAAAGAATGACCAGGGAGCTTGTCAAATGTACAGATACTCAAGCTTTACCCTAGTCCTTCTAAGGGGGAGTCTAAACAAATGATTTTGGGTCATCTGTATATTTAACAACTTCCCAGGGGATTCTGATGCAACCCACCAACTTGTGAAAACACTTCAAAATCAAAAGCCAATTGTGCAACAGTATGCGTAGTATTGTCTTAAATTAAGATTTGCTTCTGCGGCATATGAAAGAAACTCTTTCACCAAATAATAGTAGTTTAAACAAGATAGACGTACATTTCTCATATAAATGAAGCCCAGAAGTAGTCAATCCAGTTGGCAGCTCCACAAAGAAGTTAGGGACCTAGGCTACTTCCAGCTCACCACTCTGCCATACTTAAGAGTATAGTTTCATTCTCACTGTCCAAAATAGCAGCTAGATAGAGCCCTAGCCATCACATCTTCATCCCAAGCAAGGAAGGAAGGAAAATATAAAGAAGAAGGGACAATGGCATGTGTCAACTGATATTTTTAAGAGATTTCCCAGAATTGCATCACAACAGTCATTTATATGGTCAGAAGTTAGTCATATAGCCATGCTAGCTACAAAGGAAGCTGAGAAAAGTCTTTTTTCAGGAGGCCATGTGTCCAGCTATAAATCAGGAGTTCTATTACCAAGAAAATTTGAGAGAACAGACATTGTGCATACAGCAATCCGTTATCAAAAGTATAATATTAATATTGTGAATACATAGTGATTTGAACCATATAAAATTACTATTTTTAAATAAAAAATAGACAAATATCAGCAATTCAAGTGGTTCATTCTATTACATTTCTATAGAAAAAAGTCTAGAAAGATAAAAACAGTACGTAAAGACACAAATATTTGTTATCTCAGTTTGTGGGATCTCAGGTAGCTGTGTCTTTTTAAAAAATAATGATCATAATATACACAAAAATGAAGGTGAAAAGCACCATGCAAGTGAATTAGAATCATATTTTAATAAAATATATTAATATAATTTGTGTGTGTCTATGCATACATATACATACACACATGTAAAACATTAGACTTATTCATCAATCAAAATGTTATTTGTGGGTAGTTAGTGGATTATTAAGCGAGTTTCATTTTCTCCCTTATATTTTTCTACATTTTTTCCCAAAGTTCTAACCAACAGCTTATAATACTCTTGCAATAAGAAAAACAAGCATAAAACAAAGAAGAAATTAGAAGAGGGTATTATAAGGCTAGAAAGAGAAAGACTATCATAAGACTAGAAAGACTAGAAAAAGGCGTTGGCAGTGGTCTAGATGTGCAATAGAAAAGGCCAGGCTGGACATGGCAACAAAGGGTTAAAATGGGGCTCACAGAAACATGCATGATGTCATTGCACAGCAGAAAATGTAGTGAGGGTGCTTGTGTGTCAGGCCCTATTCCAGGCCCTGGGGGTACCAGGCGAATACAATAGGTCAGATTCCTTGTGTCTTCCTGGAACTTTACACATATTGATTGGTTTCTTCTACAAAACAACTTAATGAAGTACACATTACTATTACATCTAATTCACAGAAAACTAGTGAAACAGAGCGGTTGAATCTCCTACTCCAGGTCACCCAACTGATTCCCGTACAGCAACTCCAGGATTTGGATGGCGGTGGGATAGCCTGAAATCTTTGCAAATTACCAGGTCTTGCCCTGGGAAATTCGGATGCAGGAAGTTTGGTTTGGGACCCAAGAATTGTTTCTTTAGCAAGCCCTCCCAGGTGCTTCTGTAGGCAAACATGAAAAATATTGCTCTCAACAAGAGAAACCCGTGGCAACAGAAGTGAGAACGGTGGTTGCCTCTGCGAAGTTGGGGAGCAGGGGGAGCATGGGCTGGGAAGGGGCATGAGGGAGCTGGGCGGGGGCTGGAAATGCTGTGTCTTACCTGGGTGGGAGGCTCTCTATGTGTGCACATATGCAAACATTCACCCAGCAATAAAAAATGAACGCTGCCGTAGGCTGCAGAGTCCTACCCATCATGCCCATCACATCTCAGGGGGAGTCGGGAGATAGGAAAAGGTTTCTCTAGGAAGGTGACATTGCATTTGACCCTAGATGACCTAAAAAGGCCCCTCCTGCCTGCAAAGACCAGGGAAAAGCAATCCAGGCAGAGGGAAGAGCAGATGCAGAGCCCCTGGGCCAGGAAGCGCTGGGCTTGTTGGAGCAATTGCAAGGAGGCTGGTGAAGCGGGCCTGAGCAAAGCTGGTGAGAGTGGTCAGGTGTGCAGTGGGACTGGCGGGCAACGTGAGTTTTCACGTCTCGAATTCCTGCCTCAGGGCTCTCGCTCCCTCCCATTCCTCAGGCTGGAATTGCCCCCACCCCATCCTCACAGGGCTGCCTCCTCCCCAGCTCCTTGTACCACTCGGGCAGCCACCGTCACATCCCTGTTTTATGGTCTTTGGAGACCTTATCAGCATCAAAAACTTGCACTGCCGATTTCAATACTTCATGTGGACTTCCTCCCTAGCCTCTAGCGAAGCTCTCCTGCAGCAGGCACCCTACCTGTCTCTACCTTCAGAGAGCAGCGCAGTGCCTGGAACGCTGCAAACACTTGCGAATAGCAAGTTGCTGGAGGAATGGACAAACCCCTGAAGGAAGCAGCTGGGGACATCCCAAGCCATACTTGGAATCCATTCCAACCCAAGCTTGTACTTGTTGTACAAGCCATACTTCCTGAGAACCTACTGTGAGCCAGGCACTAGGTCAACTCACTGAAGCAAAGAGATTGTTTTTGAATCCCCCTTTCATGGGTCCTTATTGAAAGTCCGAGGGAGGAGGAAACAGATAATATACAAGTATCTGTATCTGTGCAGATGGCTATACACACGCATACATAGAGATACTTGAGATCTGCTGGAAGTAATACGTTTTAAGAAAGACAAGGCAGTCAGGAGGGGACAGGGAACGGCCGGGTGGCGGAAGAGAGTTGCAATATTAGAATGGGCTGGCCAAGGATGGCCTCTCCAAGAATGTGAATTTGAATCAAGACCTGCAGGGGTTGGGGAGGGTGACAGGCGGATACAGAGGGCGCAAAGTGCCCATGTCTGGAGGTCGAAGACGGCTGGAACTTGGGAGGTGACCAGAGAGACAATGAGGCGGAAGCGGGAGGGATGAGGCCAGGCGACCGGGGACAGCAGAGAGGCAGCGTCGTCAGCGTGTGGACACCGACCAACCTCAGGGGCATCACTTGGGAACTTAGAAATGCTCGTTCTCAGGCCTTGCTCAGACCTCCTCCACCGGACGCGCTGGGGTGGGCCCAGCAGCGGGTGTTCCAACGAGCCCTCCAGGCGACTGTGACGCGCGATGAAGTTGGAGCCCCCTGGAAGTAGGGGACCCTTCAGCGCCACGACCGCAGTTTTTACTCTCGTCGTCCCCATCATCTCGGTCCTCTTTATTTCGCTTGCTGGGCAGGGGACCCGCCCAGCGCTCTGCTGATTTGCCCAGCGCTGACGCCCAGCCGGGCTTTCTCGGGAGCCCGCCGCGCCCCGCGCGCCCACCCCCGAACCGCGCGGACGCGGGTCCCTCCGCAGAGCGCCCAGGCGTCCCGGGCGCGCCGCCGCCGCGCTGGGGTTCCGGGGCCCCGCGCCGGGGCGGCAGGTGCAGGCACGCCCCGAGCCGGGCAGGCCAATCGCGGCCGCCGAGAACGCAGGGCGCGGGCGCGCCGCCGCCGCGGCCGGGACGCACCCCGGTCGCCCGGCCAGCGGGACGCGCGTGCCGTCCAGAACCCGACGGGGGCGGGCCCGCGGGCCCGGGACCGCGCGGCCGGGGCCTCGGGATTCGCCGGCCGCTTCCCCCGGGAGCCGCCGCGGCAAAGCCGGGTTGGGGCGGCCGGGCCCGGCCAGCGCCCTCTAGGCAGCGGAAGTGGAGCTTGCTTTACATCCGTCCTCCCCGCCTCGCAGAGTTGGGAGAAGGAAGGCTGGGGGGGTGTGGAAAAATAAAGGAAAAGTCCTTGCACCATGTAGATCAGCGCCCCCCACCCTGGCACCCCGGCCGGCCGGGGCCTCCCAGTCTGCGCCATGAACGCGAGCGGCGAGGGCGAGAGCTTCCCGGGCTCGGTGCAAAGTAAGTGCTTTTCCGAGCGCAGTGCGCGCTCCGGGGCCCTGTGCGCGCTCCGGGGCCCGGGCCCAAGCACGTCGGCGACGCAGCCAGCAGGCCCGGGGCCCCGAAATCGGGGTGACGGCCCCGAGCCGCGTCTCGGGGACCGCAGCGGGCGCGCGGTGCGTGGGGTGCCGGAGTGGGCTTGGGGTGGGGGCACACCCGACCCGACCCGACCCGGTGCCAGGCGGGGGGCGCTCGCCAGCCTGGCGAGACCCCTTGGCAGGGACCGGTGGGGGAGGGCATGCGGTGCAGACAATCGCCACCCCCTGAGGGCATTCCCGCCCAGCCAGGCGGAGTTTGGGGCGGGCGGCGGGGAGGGAGGAATCTGGGGTAACCCGGGCAACGCTGATGGGAAAACTTCTGCCTCAGTGGCTCAAAATTGGAGCCTGGGGATTGGAGGAGCTCGCGAGGTCTCGCCGGCTCATTGCACGGCCTTTTCCACATTAACGGTGAAGATCTGAATGGGAAACGGGGCCGTGGTCGCTTTCTTTGAGTTTGGGGTTCAATTTTTATTTTGTTGATGAGGACATCAGCCTTTTTCAAGTCCCCGGTGCCGCCCGGTGCATTGTTTCCCAAAGTGTGGTCCAGGGACTAAGCGCAAACCAGCCACCTGGGAGCGCGAGCGTGTATTTTAAAAAAGCTTCCTGGGCCCCACCCATCGGATCTCGGGGGTGGGGCTGGGGAATCCGCCGTCCTTACTAGCTGCCTGGGCGATTCTGAAGCCCATGAAAGTTTGAGAACCCCTGCCTGGCACAGGGGTTTGCAGATACCTGGCACAGAGCAAGTAAATGCTCATCTCGTTGGCTGCTACTAGTAACAATTTTGGAGACACTGGCTCCTGAACTTAGCCGGGTATTCCTGGAATTGTGAAAAGCGCAGATTTTCCCAAACCCCAGCGTCCTCTCCCCACCCCGTTATGATTCGGTATCTCCGAGGTGGGGGCTCAGATATGTCCATGGGTGCCTCGGTGATAGCCCCACGGGGTAACATGCTGGGGGGCGGATGGGGCCCATGCTGGCCTTTCACAAGCTCCATCTCATTTAATCCTCACACCAACCCCAGGAAGTAGAAACCTCTCTTCTCCCCATTTTACAGATGAGAAAACCCAAGCCCAAGGTCACTGTTGGTAAGTGATAGTGTCAGGGTTCTAAGGAAGGTCTAGCTCATTGCCTTGTGTACTTTCCACGTGCCAGAGACATTATTTGTTATTAAAACTCTTTCATCCTGGATATCAGTCCTGTTCCATCATTAAGGAATCCTCAGCGGTGCTTTTCTTCATTCAGAGACAGTGCTCCAAAGAACAAACGGTCTCGTTCCTTCCATCCGTGAATTTCCAAGTACTTAAGGTGTTCTGCAAGGTGGCTTATAAAACATCACAGCACTCAGCCCAGGGAGGCTCTCCTTAGCAAGTCAACCAAATTGCATTGCCACACAGAGATTTCTTGTCTGAGTTAGACCTTGGGAAAATTGGACATAATGTAAATATCTTATAAATTGTCAGAAAGCTACAATGCATGGACACCAACCATATATGCACAAAGGAATTATTTAACTTCAGGAAAATCAGAAATAATGTTAATACCTTATTGCTGAGAAGATTAACACGTGGATACCAAGGAATAATGTGTTGCCATTACATAATTATACGTATAAAGATATTTTAGTAACGCACAATGCTTATGTAATATTATGTAAGGAAAAGATTAGTGTTACAATGCATCATGATCTTATACAATTTTTAAGCGTAGAGAGGAATGGAAGAAAATGTTTTGTGATGTTCGTGGCAGGCATAGGTGAAGATTGTGACTTTTCCCCTTCTTCATATGTCTCTTCCAAATTTTCTGTTATAAACTTGAGTTCTCTTATAATAAGGCAAAGAACATTTTTAAAATAAAAATTAAGGTAGTCATATTAGAGACTTATTAATTAATTCTATTTCTTTAATAAATATCTATATAGTACTTTCTAATATAATGCCAGGCACTATGCTAAATGTTTTGCAAATATTAACCAATATTAACTGCTGGGGTATCATTACTATCAAGAAATAGTGGCCCTCTTCGTTCGGAATGAATTTTGGCTACAAGTAAGAGAAACCCAAAGTATATTGGAGCTAACAAAGTCTGGAATTCGTTGATTCCAGGGTTGAATCAGGGAATCAATGAAGGGTCAGAATCTGTAGGGATCTTGGCATTTCCTCATAGTTACAAGATGGCTGCAGAAGCCCCTGGCATCACTTCTTCATCCAAAGCCTCAAGGGCACAGTGCCAGCTGCTTCTGCTCTCTCTCTCTCTCTCTCTCTTTTTTTAATCGTGAATACCAAACTTTTCCCAAAAACTCCTCCAGCAGTGTGCATGAGGGATTCACAAGTATGGAGGGTACCAAGATTATTTAGACTGGTGGTTCTCATAGTGGGGTGGGGGTTGGAAATGTAGGGGGACCAGTTTTCATAATGATTTTTTAGTTGGGGTAGGAGATGGCTGCTGGTCCCGCAGAGCACAGGGCAGCCCTGCGCACCAGAGAAGTTTCTTGCAAACGATGCCACTAGTTGCCCCGTGGGCAGCAGCGGAGCATAAGCCGTCACTTGGATCTGGGTGCATTGCTGCCAGGACAGAACTGGGATTCTGTTCGCAATGAAGAAGAGGGGAGTGGAGTGGATAGTGGGCCACCACCTAGCCATGTCTGCCACCATGCCTTTTCTTCCTACCATGAAGCTGGTTTGCATTATAATGTAAAGCTGTTTGGGATTAACCTGTGACTTTCCCTTTGTCCCGTGGAGTTCCAGGTGGCACAACGGTGCTGGTCGAGCTGACTCCTGACATCCACATCTGTGGCATCTGCAAGCAGCAGTTTAACAACCTGGATGCCTTTGTAGCTCACAAGCAAAGTGGCTGCCAGCTGACCAGCGCGTCTGCAGCGGCGCCCAGCACTGTCCAGTTTGTATCCGAGGAAACAGTGCCTGCCACCCAGGCGCAGACGGCCACCAGGACCATCACCTCGGAGACCCAGACGATCACAGGTACGCCTGGGGGATGGGGCGCCAGGCGAGGGTTGGCCCGAATGTCTCCAAACACCTCGGTGGAACTTGTTAAAAAATATAGATTCCCAGGGCTCTGCCCCCTAGGGTTTGCTCATTCATTATTTTTAACAAGCTCCGCTGGGAAGCCAGCTGCCCAGCCAGGTCTGGGAGCTGCTAGGTTAAAACCTTAAGTGTTAGCAGTTATAAATGTTGTCACATGTTAAACAAAACAGACAAAAAACAGGTTTCTGAAACAAAAATCTATGTATGAAGAAAAAGACTCACAGGAAATACGTTGCAATAAAAAAAAAAAAAGGTGGTCATTTTGGGTGTTGGAATATGTGTGTGATCCCTGAGTTTGCATGACTTGTGTAAAGGGATGAAAAAATGTTTTGTTTGAAATCTACAAATAGGCATTGATGTCTTCCCTGTGTTGATGACCAGCAAAATAGAAGGCCCATCCCGGTTCTCTGTGTTGTCCACTCACCCCACCAAAAATAAATTACTGATGTATCAAAACTTTAAGTGTGTATAGTAAAAGCATAAGTTCGACAGGAAATACTGTAATCACATATAGATACCCAAACATACCTCCCCATACCTGTACCTATACCTGTATAATCTGTCTTAGATAACTTTAAAAGTATGAAGTAACCTATGCATGAGATACTACTAGGACCTGTAGGGAGTTGGAGAATGTATTCCTTAGCTAAAGGCATTCGATTCTAAGAAATATATATTAATATGCCCACCAAAGAAGGCAGGTTGTGGACCACTCTCACCCCTCTCAAAAGGAGAAGAATTATAAATGCGATTGCAAATAAAGTTACAATTTTTCCAAAGTATTTATACAAAGTATATTTATTTAATATTATTTAATATATCTATATTTAAACAAAGTATAAACAAAGTCTAAAGACAAACAGCTTGGGAAAAAATTTGCAGCATATATGATTAAGGCCTAAAGCCCTCATATCCAAAGAACTCTGAAAACCAGTAAAAGTCGAAAGAAAAGAACAAAGTGGAAAAGTCAGTAGATGATATACAAGAGACCACTAGATGTAAAATGATACTCCTTCACCTTAGTCATTAGAGAAATGCAAATCAAAACAAGGCTTGGGGCCGGGCACGGTGGCTCACGCCTGTAATCCTAGCACTCTGGGAGGCCGGAGGTGGGCGCATCGTTTAAGCTCAGGAGTTCGAGACCAGCCTGAGCAAGAACAAGACCCCGTCTCTACTAAAAAATATATAGAAAAAAAAAAATTAGCCAGGCATGGCAGCGCATGCCTGTAGTCCCAGCTACTCAGGAGGCTGAGGCAGGAGGATCGCTTGAGCCCAGGAGTTTGAGGTTGCTGTGAGCTAGGCTGATGCCGCAGCACTCTAGCCCAGGCAACAGAGTGAGACTCTGTCTTAGAAAAAAAAAAAAAAAAACAACTTGGAAACCCATGACTAGACTGTTTTGTGATAACTTTCAAATTTTAAACCTTAAATTTAAAATCTGTTTTAAAATGTACATAAACACATTTACCCAGTAAGTTTACTTCTAGACATTTATCCTATGAAACTGTATAAACAAGTGTACAAGGGTATTCATTCGCAGGATATACCCGAGAGAAAGTGGAGCCTTTGTATGTCTCTATCCAGAGGAAGTTAGATAAATTAATATCAGTGATTCCAGCATGGCATGTGACTTAGCCTTGGAAAGGGGAGCTAGATCTGTGTGCAGACATAGGAATATTCTCAAGGTGAGCGTAAAAAAATACATAGGCATACATATTAGATGATATTATATTCAAGGGAAGCTTCTAGAACGGGGATGAGGCAGATAATGTGAAAGAGTGGTAGGCTGTGTGTGAGCGATAGGGAGTGCTGGGGAGTGTGGCAACGTGGAGAAATGGTGCACGGCTCATCCAAAAGTGCAGCTGCTCTTTGGATCCAGCCAGTTAGAAATTTGAGTTTTTCAGAGAAGCGGAAAAGTATGAACTTTCCCAAATTTTAAAACTCTGTTGACCAAACGAAATACATCTGTGAGCCTGACTGAGTCCACAGGCAGCTTCTAGCTTATTCTCAGAGAACGTTTTTACCAAATAATCTGGAGCTGAGGAGTGGGGAACATCAGAAGTCAGGGAGCCCACTTTCCCCTTATGAATTGTATATTGGGGTGATGTTTGGATTTTTTGGCATTAAGCAAAGTTTTGTGGACTTCTTTTCTTAATGCATCTAAAATAATGTTTCTACTGAATTCTTTAAACATCGAAATAAACTGGTCACCTCTGAAACCTTAATAAAAGTATCTTGAGATCTTCCCACTTTGTCCTGACTTTATCTTGATTCCCATCTTAGAGGAAGTCACTAAGAAAATGTGAAAACTAGAAAACACCCCGTGGCTTTGGGGCCACATGTGGCCTTGAGGCCACAGGTCCCCACCCCTGGCTGGTACATTCTTGCTTTACAGCCACACACCAAGTAAAGCTGCGCATGGGTTAGAGGCACAGCCACGGTCCTACCCCAGGGTCAGGCCGGTCCTGCGACATGGTGTCTTTTGATGCTTACCCTAGGGGTCTTCTCCCTGAGGACTTAGTGTTTGGTGTCCTGTCCTCAGAAATGAAGTCCCAGTAACCCATACACTACGTGTGATGCATAGACACGGATGCCTCACAGTGTGGGCGGCTTGAGGGCCCATGCTTTGGTTGGGGCCGTCATATCTTTCCGGGTTCCGGGCCTTTGCTTATGTTGTTCCCTCTGCCTGAAATGCCTTTCCCACCTTTGCCTGGCTGACGCCAACTCAGCCTTAAGGTCCATGGCAGTCTACACACAAAGGGGCTAGGGACACTCCTCTCCCCTCTGTATTACAGCAGCCATTCTGGGTTTTGTTCGTTTGTTTGAGACAGGGTCTCACTCTGAGTCACCCAGACTCGAGTGCCATGGCGTCCTCATAGTTCACTGCAACCTCAAACTCCTGGGCTCAAGCAATCCTCTTGCCTAAGCCTCCCGAGTGGCTGGGACTACAGGCATGCACCACCATGCCCGGCTAATTTTTCTATTTTCCAATATAGACAGGGTTTCACTATGTTGCTCAGTCTTGTCTTGAACCCCTGACCCTGTGGTCATTCGACCTTGCCATGGCTGAGCTTTGCTGACCACCCTGTGCACCCAGGCCAGGCCAGGCCGGGCGTCCTGTGTGTGCCCAGCACACGGAGGCCCCCTTGCGCAGAAATGAAGGGAGCTCCAACCTCCCAGGCTGCCACCTAATGGCCCTCAGCTGTGGGTAAACCGTCGCCTCTCCTTCTCGCTCAGTATTCCTCACCTGCAAAAAGAGGCTGTAACCCTACCTAGTGGTCGTTGGGTTATTGTGAGGATTCTGCGATATTCCACATAAACGGCCTGGAATGGGGTGATGGAGCTCAGTAAGCGACGGCCCTCATTAACGCGGAGACTAATAAACAGGTGGCGCGTGGCTGGTGAGATCCGCAGTGCGCGTGGTCCCCGCCTGCCTCAACTGTTCCTCCGGATCGTGCCGGCTGCTTTGCCAGCGACACAGGCAGAACCCTGCTTGCTTTTCTCTTTTACACGTATCAGGCTGCTTTTCTGGGCTCGGCTCTGCGCACGGGGCATCCGTGTTCCACGGGCCGGCAGTTCTCAGACCTGCCTGTGGGCCAGGATCTCCCGGGAGCTTGTTGAAGATGCTGGTGCCCGGGCGCCTCCTTCTGAATCTGAATCTGAATCTCTGGAGCCGAGGCTCGGGCATCTGTATTTTTAACAAGCTCCCGGGGGATTCCGGGTCTCAGCCGGGCTGCAGAGTCACTCGCCTGCCCAAGGCTGCCGGCCAGCCCCCCACCACCCAGCAGTTTCTACAGGTGCCCTCCTGCAGACATTTCCCAGGCTTGTTTATCCCTCCCAATCCTTGCGTAAGGCACAGCTTCCTTGCTCAGCTCATATGTCTCCTCTCTGCCCAGTAATAGTTGGGTATAAAATAAAATTTATTCCCTGCCTGCAGCTTTGAGAGCTGCCCATTATTTGGCATATGATTTAAGCATTTTCACATAGGAGCAGTAAAATTAGATGTCAATGCGGGTGAAAAACAAAATAGCATCTCACATGCATTTTCTAAGTTCATGGCTTAAAATCCTGGGGCTTTGGAGTCAGGGCCCTGAGTTCGAATCTTGGCTGCATAGAGCTTTAGGAACCACGTGACTATGGCAAGCTACAAGAGCCCTTGGTGCCTCGTTTTAAAGTGAGGACAAGATAAATAGAGAGGTGACAGAGACTGGGGTCCTGAGACAGACTGTCTGGGTTCAGATCCTGGCGGCACCATTTGCTAGCCACGTGACCTTGGGCAAGTGACTCACAGTGTTCGTGTCTCCATTTCCCCAGCGGTAAAGCGAGAGTGATGATAATACCCGCATCAGAGGGTTCTAGGCGGGCTCCACCGGGCTCCTACGTGGGAGACATTTAAAACTGTCAGTGTCAGCTGTCATGACTTACTGCATCAGGGGGCTGTGAAAATTAAATGAAACAGCACATGAAAAAGTCAGCACAGAGCCTGGCTCGTGGCATGCTCCCCCAGCTGATATTAGTTGAATTGATCACTTGACCAAGAATAATTTTTTTCCTATCATTTCTGGTTAATTTCTGCTCTGAAGGTTCCAAGTTAAAAGTCACCTCTTCCTAGAAGCCAGCCCTGATTTCCCCTTCTCTCCAATGCTGCAGTTAGGTTTCTCATTGTTTTCTTGCCTAGCATTTATCATACTTGTAAGTAATTAGTTGTTGGTTGGCAAGCAGTCTTTAATTAGCCAGAGAAATGAATTCCAAGGTGGTCAGGGGGCAGCCAGTGGCAGCGTAGGTAGCAGCAGGTGCTACAATAGAGAGGGGACGGGCCTGTGGCCAACTCCACAGAGAGAAGAGGAAGAGAGAAGCAGCCTCCCACGCCGGCAGCCCATCATCAGCTGGGCTTGGCGTCGCCAGGAGCAGGGCTGTCTTCCACAGGTAGGCCACGCGGT